GAAAGTTAATGAACTCGGAGCAAAATAACGGTTGGGATGGTTTTCCAGAAAAAATTTCCTCGGGGGGTGCTCAAGGGTTTAAAAGGTTATTGGGGGGGGGGCTCAGGGCTGAACCGCCCGACAGGGATGTGACGTTACACACATAGAATGGGGCCTTAAAAGGATAATGGGATTGTTTGGATGGGGCCTTAACCGGGGTGTTGGTGGTGTGCCAAGTGCTCACTGCAAGGTCGACTCAGCCTTGCTGGGTAAGGGGTAGGGATGTTTTTTTGTTTTTTTCCCTCATCTCCCAGGTGTTGCACTTCTTTCTACTCGTGATGCCGAAGAGGTTTTGAAAGAGGACTTATTGCATATACACACTAAGAATTAGCCCTTTTGCTCGCATCTAGGTGGTATGCAATACCAGTAACGGGTCTTTTTAAAATACTTCGTAGATTGTATCGTAGAGGGGCATTTCGGTCTTCTGCTTTGGTGTATACCGACATCTACCGCATCGCACGCTAACATCAAGGGATGGCACTGATTTCACGAGCCGGGAAACCACAATTAAAACACTGAAATACTACCTTGAGCAATGGCAACTATCCCAATGGTCGGGCGGGTAAAGCGATGGCATGTGGATTCCTCTACTTTTGTGCTTTTACTGGACGATACTGGTAGTGCTTGAAGCCTTAAGTCTCATCCTTAGAAAAGCGACCGGCGGTGATGGTTAAGGCCATATCGCTTGGGGCGCAACGATGTTACCGATGCACAACACTCTTCCCCCCCTCCAGACCGAACCTAGCATCATACTATACGTATACCGTACCCCCCCCCACAAGCACTGGAGCACGCTATTGATGCAAGTGGAAAGATGAACCCAACCAGCGCCCATAATCTAACCAAGTCACACAACTCCATCTCATCCATCCCAAGTTCCCACTCCTTCAGCTGACATTGCCCCATTCGGTACTACACAAATCATCACTTGTGCTTACCGTACTGTCCTGTCTTATACCCTACCGTACTCGGGCGGGGTGGCCCGGTAAGGCGCGGCCGGCCAATGCAAAACAACCCCTCGACCAACCACAAATCTGGCCCACTTCAAATTCCTCCAGTCAACGACCCAAAAGCGCAAAAAGCGTTAGCAGAAGTCTTTATTTGGATGGAAGGAGACAAATTCAGACAGCCCAAGCTAACTCCATCAAGTGATATCTCGGCGACACCATACCTAATGCGGCAATCAATTTCGCCAATGATTTCGCCATGAAGGAAAGCACGGCACAATCAGGAAAGTGATCGCATGCTGAATAAGCGACAGCGAATCAACAAGAGCGCAGACAGGAAGCGTCTCAACTCGAGCTCGCTAAACACACAGTCAGAAAGAAATCACCGTCTAAACCACAATAGGCTTAGCGGAGCAGGTGAACAAGATGACGAATACCAGTTAATAAGATCCAGTAAGCTCAGCCCTTCTGAAGCTATACCCCATCTAGAAGATATTATCCCCTCTTTGAGAGTTTGTCTCTGACCGGGAAGATCCGAGGAAGATCAGCGATACTGTAGAGTTTTTTTACGGCAATACTGTAACTGTTCCTACGATAACTCCCTTTATGCTTGTTTAGGGCAGCCAGTCAGACACTAGCCCCCGCAGCTCGCTTTGTGTGGCACGGGTACCAATTCGATAAATTCCTCGTAGAAGTGTTCCTGGTCATGACTCACAACACCCCCGCTCAAACAAACTGCGGCGGGAATAAGAGAGTGTCATGATCCCCGTGATCAGAGGATTTCAAAGTTAATCGGGTTCACCGAGTTACAATACCGGTACCGGTGCCCGTACTTGAGTACTTGTACGAGTACGGTCCAGCATCACTCTTGTCATCGGGCGGGAAAAGCCCAACAAAGGTAAAAGCCAACTCAAGCTACTGGCATGACAATCGTAATCCAGCTTACTTGTAATCCAACACCAGGGCAATCACCGCGACATGTCTAACACCACCGCCAATGCTAAATTGTTGTGCTTGACCCGTGATTTTTTCTCATCTACTTGTACCGCGCTTTCACCTCTGCGATACCGACAAGTTGCCAAACGAAGGGTCATGTGTCGAAGACCGAAGCCACGCTGGCACCCGGTTACACGCAATCTGTGGCTGGAAAATGGCTCATAGGGCCGGAGGATATCGCCACCAATCAAAAATAACTGCAACGGAATTTGCAAGGTGGAAACTACCTCGATAAGAGCCCTTTAGTCAATTCATTACCATCAGTCCTACGTTTTTGGAAAGCAAGGGATTTCACGGAGCCGCCGCTAAACTGAATTAAACAACTTTGACATCGAGGAATCTTTCCCTTTGTTATCTGTACAGTACTCGTACCACCGTTGTCCTTGGGTTGTTTGTGATGGTGGGTAGGGTACAGTAACAATACCGACAAAGTCCAATTTGGATGGTCGACACTACGCCTTGCCTGGAGGAGTTGTTGTTTCTACTTGTGTGAGAATTCCAAGGCAAAGTGGTCTTAGGGGGTTATGATATTCGAGGCGGGGGAGGAGGTCAATGGGTAAGTGAGCTTTTGTTATCGAAAGAAAAGAATAATCGTTGTGCAGTACCGTGCCATCTCAGACAGATCCTTGTCTTTATCCCGTCCCTCTCCGGGGGGCCGTTTTAGGTGGCTTTCTAATTGGGTCCTCGCCCCTCTGAGCTGACAAAAGTGCATATTTTCCGCCGGATGGATATTTTGGAATTTGGGGACAATCGCCAACGCATAATACGGTGGGTTCTCTCGAGTACCCTACAGTACGATACAAAATTTTCAACCCGAAGCTATCCCGGATCCGGACAGGCTTTGGGAACCCATACCGAGTTCCAAATGACTCAAGCGTGCGCTACGGGTATGTCGTTCAAGTTGTCTCATCTGGTAATGCTTTCGCTTCTGCCGTAGATGTCCTTCGGGGGCTAACTTAGCTCACCATTTGCTGTGTGCTTTTTCGCTCCTTTTTCTGGTGTCATGCCTACACAAGGCAAGGCTCAAATTTTTTTTTTTTTAAGTTTTGATATTCTACTAGCGCTGTACCCTACGTTATTTATTTAGGGATTCGGTTTTTTGTTGCTCTGTCGGTTCCCTATAGTATTTGTAGGCTTTACTCCTGTTTTTGTGGGTGTCGGGGGTTACCCGGCCTTTGCACAAGAATGGGAGGCTCGGGATAGTACTGGTTAATTGCTGTTTAGCATGATAATATTATGATGTGGTACAGTACAGTGCATGCCAAAGTTCGATTTTCACCCTCGGATGCCACGCTAAGCGAGCAAAAAATGAACAGAGGAGCAGAGGAGTTTAAAGGTTACACGGTATTCAGAGTGAGAGTGAAGGACAAAGGTAAAATGACAATGGTATCGGGTCAACGTCGACCGGACCCGGCCAAGTAGATGCAGCACAGACTACAACTTACCCGGATGATGAACCCGCGGTAAGAAGAACGGAGAGAACTTAATATTATGGTGTATTGTACGGGTGTAGTGCGGGCTGCCTCGCTTCCACACCTTGTCGTTCTCGCAATGATTTTCCTTCTCTCTCATGCTTTGCCTTTCTACCTTTGTATCGCTAGGCCTTTCCCCCTCTCCCTTCCGAGATTGAACTTTCATACCCCTTTGATAATCCTATAGCCCTCACATCATCATACCCATTTTTCCCATCACACATAGCCATCACGATAGCTTCTATATGCAGACCCTATCTAGCGCTTCTAGCATAACCTTGTTCTCCACACTGCAACCGCCTTTCCCATCCTGCACACACCCCGCCTCCAGGACCCCCGCCACAGCCTGCACTTTCTCTTCCGAGGTGGCGAATTGAAGTAGCATTTGGGTAGCTTTGCCGCAAGATGTTTTATCCGATGTTCTCCCTTCAGCTTGGCCATCGGCGGGGGTTGGGAGCTGAGCGATGTCGATATGCGGATTCGCGGCTAGAGCACGGGCGAGCTTGCATGGAGTCTTGGACGGACAGGGCTCCGCCGGGGTAGGCGGGTCACGTTCGGTTGGGGGCGGGGTAGGTTCCCGGTATTGTTCGGGCTGAGATCGTCAATCCGGTATTCATATGTGGGGTGGAAGGGTGCGCTACATACTTTGGTGTTTGAATTGCACGGTCCCGCGGAACATTGCTTCCTCTGACCTCCCACAGCGCTTTCATCCTCTCCGTTGTTTAGCTTATTCATGAGCTTATAGGTCACTTCCTGCCCCTCGGTCCATCCATTAACAACGTCCTCATCGACTCCAATTGCCCGCAGCAACTTCCTTAGCCGTTCATTTTCTTCCGCCACCCTTCTGGCGGATACCTGCATTTCGACCGTTGCTTGTACGCCTTGCGCTTCGAGCGTTCGCAGTCTTTGCGCTAACTCAGCGGTATATTCCTTTTGTCGAGCCCGTTGCCGACGCTTCGTATCTCTTATTCTGAGTGCCCGTTGGGCATCCTACCTAGTTAGTACATAGCTTTTCATCGCGAGAGCGTAAGAGGCATACCTTCTCCGTTCTTGACTCGGGCATTTAGGATGTTTGGAGCGATAGACTGCGGGACAACGAGGTCGATTGTTGTAAAGTAACGTTGTGGTATGGAGCAACCCCTAATCAACTGGACTGGGGTTGCCAAGACGGGATAATCCTTGAGCACGCCATGCTCATCCATTCCAGTTCAACTGCTCCAATACTTGTATCATACAAGTAGTACTCGAGTACTGTACGTACTCGTACCGTACCCGTACCGGTATTCTCTTGAAATCCAACACCAAATTATCAATCCGCCAGCCCACGATAGGGCTAGCGAGAGGTCCAACCCGTTCAGTGGGCCGATCCCATACAGTACTGAAAAACGATATCGTGGGTCCCGGCTCTATTTCACGCAACGCACTCAGGCGGATCAAGTATAGCCTGTAAGCGGAATGTAGAGTAGAGAGTTTGAAGTAACTAAAGCGCACAAGAAATAAAACAACAAACACAATCGAAAATCCAAGTCGTAGTGATGTGGGGATGTTGCTCGTTCAACCAATCGCCGATATCGTTCCCAAGGTGTTTCCCACAGCCTCTTATATACCTTCAAGGTGTGTGGAAAAACGCAGTCCTGTGAAAACCTTTCCTCCACGATACTAAACACAACAGTCACACTCTCGCCAACCCAGACTATGTTCAGAAACTCTAACTAAAAGCAATAGTATACTAAGAATAAAAATCATCGCGCAATTTTTCCCTCCACAGTACAGTACTAGTACAGCGCCGGGAAACGCTAGTGCTTCTCAGGAGCTTTTGATTCTGAATCCGGAAACCACAGGGCGGTCGGAGATCAAGAGATTATGGTACTTTATCTATTCCTTTTGCGGGAGGGCAGACCAAGTATCGGTAGATCGTGTGAGCTTCAGCGAGCCGGCACCTTCAGCGAGGCTTGATTCGCGCTCGGTATGGTGCTGCAATGCGGTACGCTAATCAACCAAATTTACCCACCAATAATTGCCAAGCCTCGCTGAGGGCGCCGGCTCACAAAGTCTAACTAGCGCTCCCGGCTGGCTGCTGGACAGGAATGTGATCAGCCAATCAGGTTGGAGGTGTCCGTCCACCTCTTGTACGCATAAAATCGTGGAAATGATCCGGGAGGGAGTCTCAACAGAGGACAAAGCACCCCACTGCTTGTCCATTTCTCCCACTACTACCTCTCGTTATAATAAATCATGACAAGCGTGACGCCAAATACCGCTCTTCCCCCAGAAAAATCCCAACCAGCCCCGGGCACCAAGTCGGCAGAGGACCTCGAATCCCAGTCCCACCCAAATTCCCCGGGAATTGAGCCCCAACAAGAAGATGACCTGGGATACCACGACAACTCCAACGTTCCACATCTCGGATATCTAAAGCTTTTTTGGTTCTTCTTCTACAACTTTGGTCTTTTCGCCTGGGGCGGTCCTGTCGCGCAGATTGTTGTGATCAAGGAGCGACTCGTAATACAGGATAAATGGATAACGCTCGCGCGGTTTCAGCGGGTTTTCGCCGTCTATCAGATCCTCCCCGGCCCTGAGGCGGCAGAACTGTGTATGTTTTTTGGATGTCTGTCTGCTGGTAGAATCGGCGGTATAGTCGCTGGACTTGGATTCATCCTGCCAGGGTTCTTGTTGATGTTGTTGGCTAGCTATCTCTACTCACTGGCGGGTTTCGATAACGTATACTTCAACGCATCTTTTCGGGGTGTACAGCCATTGGTTGCGGCAATGGTACTCCACTCCCCCTTCCCCTCTATCCCTAGCTAACAAGCTACAGATCCTCCGGGCGGCTCACAAAATCGCCGACCACTCTGTTATCGATCCCGTCACGGAAAAGGTCAATCCGTACTTAATAATTGCCGCCCTCTGCACCGCCCTCAATTCTGCCTTGCGGATAAACATCTTTATCTCTATTGCCTTCTATGGCTTTCTATACGCCCTCATATCCCGACCGCGCATGCTCCTCCCCTCCCTCTTTGTCTTCATACTCCAATACGTCGGATATGCCATCTATGTCGTCTTCCGTGGTGTGCCCTCACCTGTCTCTCTCGCCCTAGGAATTGCGCAAACTCCCTCGTTAATAAATCTCTTCGTCCTCGGTCTCGTGGCTGGAAGTCTGTCATTTGGTGGGGCGTATACTGCTATTCCCTTTATTCAGGTGGAAGCGGTACTCAAGGGTGGCTGGCTAGCGCAAAGCGTCTTTATTGATTGCATAGCCATAGGAAACGTTCTTCCCGCGCCATTGGTTATCTTTGCAACATTTGTTGGGTTCCAGGGTGGTCTCGCCGACGGGAAGGGCCTTGGCGGGGCTTTCGCCGGCGCTATAGTCATCACCCTGGGAATGTTCTTCCCATGCTTCCTCTTCACAGTCGCGGGACATGAACTCTTAGAAAAACTCGTCCGGAATAAATTTCTCGCGAGGTTTTTCGATGGGCTGTGTGCCGCGGTAGTGGGTGTGATCGCGGTTATTGCCATGGAGATATTGAAGTCTGCGGTTGGTGGAAGGGAAGAGGAGGATGTGGAGGATGGCGGTAATGTGGATGAGAAAGAGATGAAGATAGTGTTGAAGAAAACGGTCATGGCGGCAACAGCGGCGGTGTTGTATCTTGTGGGGTTGGCGGTTTTGTACAAGTTTTTGAACAAGTGGACCCCGTTGCTGTTATTGGCCGCTGGAGCCATTGCGGGACAATTTCTGTTCGTTTAAGTGGAGTTTTCAGGGGTAGTGTGTGTAATCACCATTGGAGGTGTATTATCAGCGGTGCATAAATTGCTGCAGTAGAGTAACTTGGTCAAGCTTTTACGCAAAATTCAGAAATATCATTGGAGCACCGTAGATCGGCATTTACAAACAAGCGCCAGGGGATCACAGGGCGTGCTGGCTGAGCTTTGCGGAAGGGGGCTGAATAAAAACCAATCCCACTTTTTAGCTTCTAAAGACTGCCCTGGATCAGCCAGAGCGGGCCTTTATCTGTACTGATTCCTTGGATGGATACCTGGGGAAACATCTACCTAAACCTCTGCGCTCATTGCATGCTATTCCCTACTCGTCTCCGAGAATCCGTCTCTCCTTTATAGGTCGACCCCACGTTGGGGTGGGGTCCAAGAGACATTTTCCCGGGGGAGTTATGCAATGGGTTTCACAAACAGATTCGGTTGACCCGGCTGTCATCCGTAGGCCCGACCGTCATTTGCGGGACCGGGCCGTCACCGGCGATCAGCTGTAGGAATCTGGCGTTTTCCCCATTTTGAGACACCCGTCTGTCCCGGGCCATGGCCTGGACTGACGCCAAGATGCCCGCCAGTCCTGGGCATCCTACTATGCACCACCGTCCGTCTCGTCCGGACTGGACGGTTGGGAACCATACCACAACGCCTCCTCGACTCTAAGCCATTATCCTCCTACACCCCTCCGTCCCACTCAGCAACTTACCCTCCCCATAATGCGACAATACCCTTTTGCCTGATCCTCCTACCCACCCTGAATACGGCGGAAAGTGCAAGGGCAGCAGAACAAGTATTGTGTATGTAAGGATGTCGGATTTGTCAACTCTCGCAGGCAACTAGGACACGCCCCACTGGCCCAATACAGGGAAACTAGCTTCTTCCATTACCTCTCTGACCCTATGCTGTTCCAACTGCTGTTCTCTCGGCAGTAGTCATTTTCCTCATTCTTAACCCGCGGAGGGTGAGGGCTCCATGGGCGGCGATGGGAGTTCTATTGACGTGGCGGTCCCGGGAGAGAGTTGTATTAGATCGTCGGATGCGCGCCACCGCTCTAGGAACCTGAGGGAGAATATGGAGATTGTGAGAATCTTTAACGAGTTGAGGGTTGGCCGGGGGATAAAGCGGGTTAGGGCGGTTGCGCAGAGTAGGGATGTGGGGGTCGGTAGTGTGGAGCCGGGTCCTGGGGGGGGTGCAGGTGACGGCTCCGGGTGTGCTCTGTATAGTATGAGATGAATCAGGCGGTGAGAATAGTGAATCACGGATAGTGATCCTAAGCGGCTAGTCCGGGCCATGGTCCGACCTTGGTTTTGAAAAGCCTGGGTCAGTCCGGTCGAAATTCACGGCGGCCAGGCCACCGCTGGGTCGAGTCTTGGCGCAACCCAGGTCAGAGCCGCCAGATGCCCAGGCAATCCGAAGATATCTATGGACAGCTTGCAGGTGTTCTACTTTTAATCACTCGGAATAGGATAATGGGAGAAACATGCCCCCGGTGCTATAGATCTCGCTTGAGGCAAAACCATGTCATCACCGATGAATGCCCGCTGGACACAAATATACTCTCCTACCTCAAGACACTCTATCATTCTTCACACAACTCCCTAGCCACCCCGGGTGAATATGTATTAACCGAGTGATTTTATAAACAAGTAGTCCTGCTGAATGATGGAATATTTTTTAGTAATAAAACACAAGTGATGGTATGGAACATCGGCCTGCAGGTGACCCAGGACGGGCTCGGCTTTGGTTTGGAAAAGCCGATTTCTCACAGCCAGGCCCGGCCGTCCCTGAAAAAACCTGGGTCAGCCCGCCGTGCTCAAAGCCGGACGGACTGGCCGCTTTGGATTACTAGCATTGAATGAATTTGTGGGCCCAGAAAAGAGCGAGAATATGAGCAAAGAGGTTGATAGAGACCAGGGGTGGGAAGTGCAATCGAGGAGTGTTAGAAGATCTGGATGTTTGCATGAGAATACAATCGAGCACAATGATAGTGATGACGGGAGGAATGAATAAGGGAAGGAAGGAAGGAGGGAAGGAGCATGGAAGATATAGAACTCTTGGGGAAGTACTCGAGTAGGTGCTTACGTGTCCAGTTGTAATACGCTATATTCTTCAATTATAACAGCCAAGTATTATATTATACCCCTTAAGTTTCTTGTTAAACTTTGCGCTTCGAGCATTCACAGTCTTCGAATTCGGCGGTGTATTGGTTCTATCGAGCCGGTTGCCAACGCTTCATATCTCTCATCCGGAGCGTGTATCGGGAAATATACCCGGTCGCTAAAGAGCTTTTTACCGCAAAAGCATAGCTTCCCCGATCCCAATCCTGGCGCCCAGGACAGACTGCGAGAGAATGAAGCCGATTCTAATAAACAGCGTCGTGGTGTAAAGCTGGAAGCTACAATTTTTATTGGGTTGCCAACGCGGGACAATCTTTGGGCCTACTAGTAAGTCCATTCGGGGTTTAACTAAGGGTATTTGGGTGCCATACCAGAGTTAAAAGTGGTGCGCCGCAGGATAGCACCTACCGTACTCTACTATAGATCTTAAAGAGGTGGCACTTCCCGCCGCAATAGCGATGCGGCAGGCGCAAGCAGGGTGTTAGCAAAATTTTGGAGGAGAATGATTGGGCGGCCCCCGGGTTATCCAGAAGGTTCCACAAAAGACCCCGCTTTTGTTTAGCCCCTAGAAAAATCGGTGGCCGACCGACTACACCATCCATCGCCGACAATACCCAAGGCAGCAGAAACAGAAGATGTCGCAATTATTCAGTCATAACATCAATTCTTGGAACACGAATGTTACAAACAACTTTACTATTGTTGATGACCAATCCAATGTCCTAGCCTGGCTATCCCCACTAAATCCGAAGTTAAGGCATCAGGACATCCAAGACCGCCGAATCGAAAATGTAGGAGAATGGCTGTTACAGACCGAGGAGTTTAGAAGCTGGTACGCTGGTAGTGGGGGAGGTGGATCCGATAACGCGGTATTGTTTTGCGATGGAGATCCGGGGGTTGGCAAGACCTACATTAGGTAATAAGGGCGGACCCCTGGAAATGGGAGGAAATAGGCAGTGCTGATAGGTGGCAACGTTAGCTCATTGGTGATAGACAGCTTGTGTGATCGGGCCGGAGGACAGAATGCCACGGTTGCATGTTTTTATTTTGACTTCGCTGCCCAAAAGGAGCAGTCTTCCACGAGCATGCTGGGAGCCTTACTGAAACAGCTTGTTGTTGGATTGGAGGAGACCCCGGAGGAGATATTGCGGGCATACCAAGACCGAAAAAATGCAATTGGTGGGCGGGGACCACGATTTTCCGATATTGTGAAGATGTTTCAGACCACCTCCTCCAGAAAGCGCACGTTCATATGCATCGACGCTCTGGATGAATGTGCGGAAGGATGTCGAGTCAAGCTTCTTGATTCGCTAAACGAAACTCTCCGAGAGTCACCCGACACTCGAATATTCGTGACTGGGAGACGGCACATTCGACCTGAGATTGGGAGGCGTCTTGCTGGGAGAGTAAAGTGTGTATCCATAAGCCCCAAGAGAGACGATGTTATTAGGTATCTTCGCACTAGACTAGATGAGGACATAATCCCAGATGCGATGGACAGTAGCCTGGAGGTAGACATTCTGAAGAAAATCCCTGACAATATGTCGGAAATGTATGTACGATATGGATAACAACACCGTATAAAGCTACCTGCTAACCGATAAATACCTAGATTCCTGCTCGTCTCGCTAAATATTGATGCGATCCTACAGGAAACCACAATCCATCGCAGACGACAAAAGCTAGGTGCAATGATAGATGGGTTAGGGTTAGGGGATGCTTATAGCTCATTGCTGAGTCGAATAAAGGGACAGGGTGGGGAGAAATCGAGGCTCGGTATGACTGCTTTGATGTGGATCTCTCACTCCGAGCGGCCCTTGGAGCCCGATGAACTATGTCACGCTCTAGCGGTCGAAATAGGATCGCCGAATCTCAACGCCGACAATGTTCCTTCAATAAGGACATTGCTCGCCTGTTGCCAGGGGCTTGTTGTCGTAGACAAGGAAGCTTCCACGGTCCGGTTAATCCACTTTACCCTTCAAGAGTACCTCCGGGATCATCCAGAGCTTTTTGATGCAGCTCACTCGACAATTGCAGAAACCTGTTTAACCTATCTGAATTCCCGGCAGGTCAAGGCTCTTTCGACTAGCAGCTCCCCCAACCTCCAAAGCGCACCCTTTCTTCGATACTCTTCATTATATTGGGGGGTGCACGCGGAAAGGGACCTATCCGGCCGTGCGAAATTGCTTGCGCTACAGCTATTTGGCGACTACAATAATCACATATCCGCTAAGCTCTTATTGGAATCACAAGAAGAATACTCGAGTGTTGTTGGCCCGGGTAAACTGCCCCTGTTCACTGCTCTGCACTGTGCGTCCTTCTTCGGGATTGTTGAGGTGGTAGCTAGTTTGGCAGAGACGGAAGGCTATGATATCAACCAAGATGCCTGCGCTGGCGATACACCTCTTGTGTGGGCTGCTTTGAATGGGCATGAGGGAGTGGTGGAAGTACTACTTGGACAAGGCGATATTAACCCCGACAAACCAGGTTACGGTGGCCGAACGCCACTCCGATGTGCTGCTCGGTATGGGCATGAGGGGGTGGTAAAAATACTGCTCGGACGGGACGACGTCAACCCTGACAAACCAGATAGCGACGGCCAAACGCCACTCTTCGGCGCTGCTTGGAACGGGCATGAGGGAGTGGTAAAAATGCTACTCGAACGAGACGACGTCAACCCTGGCAACCCAGATAACAATGGCCAAACACCCCTCTGTTGTGCTGCTTGGAATGGGCACGAAGGAGTGGTGAAAGTGCTACTTGGACATGACGATGTCAACCCCGACCAACCGGATGGCGACGGCCTAACACCACTCTGTTGTGCTGCTTGGAATGGGAACGAGGGAGTGGTAGGGATACTACT